TTTCAGGGTGGATCTATAATTTTGGCCAGCACTGTATAACTGTCATAAAAATTCAAGGCGTTTGGGCTTCTTCACTGGAGTTGTTTGAGTCTATCAAAGCTCTAGACGCAAAATACACGAGCACATACTCACATTCAATCCATTTTTGTACATGTAAACCTCATTACCACGCAGAGTTCATTTTTTCATACATAGAGTAGTAATTCTTAATGAAAATCGCCGTGTTGTTATATTCGCTGGGGTTATTCGTCCCCGTCTTATTTGCTAAATGATCCTATCCACAAACTTGCCAAATGAGTTTCCTTCGTTTTTGTTCCGTTCGCTTCACATGCATTCTTATGCTCAGAGTCTGAATGTCAAAAGTCGAAGTGAACGGGCTTTTTACTACAACGCCGGTCTACGTCGCATAATATCCTTAAGTCGAATCACAAGAAACGCTTGTTGTCACTTGTACGCAATGTCTCTGATCGCACAGTGATCGAGTAATTACAAAAATTACTCAATTTACTTCGCTATCTGTATTTATGCTTTTTCTTTTTTGTACAAAATCAAAGAAGCGCAACATGAATGCATGCGGAAATGTTGTAATCCATAAGAGATTCTATGTAGATATACGCTATGGCGGATGCAAAGCCGGACATCCTGCGACAAATTGAATCAGTTCATGAATAGCAATTAATCCACAAATTATATCAAAATATATGACTACCGAAAAGTGAATATGGAAACAGACGTTGCGCACGCAAATACTGTAAAAGGTCTTTTTGGACTTATCGCTCGAGATTTGTAACGCGGCGTCGTTACGCGGTGAAAACGATAGCCTTGTAGTGCAACGTGTTGCGAGCAGGATAGCTTCATCCAACTGTTATGAAAATAGGATGACATGTGATGTAGGGCACGACAATGGAGCTGTGTAGAGTGGGGAGCATCGTTCGCTGCAAAAAAGTTGATTTTTTTACAATTTATCTTTAATAAAAGAGCACCACCGTTAGGTGATTAGGTGATGTCTGAGGAGATCAAGGTTGGATAACTCAGTTTCAGTAGTAGACATGCCCTCAAACATTTTACATGCATTTGTTTGGACTGACATGTACGGCGGCAATTGCATTGCGTTTGACTTGCTAGTATGTTTCACAGCAAAGGATGACGATTCCATAAGTACGGAGATTTTCTAACTCATTTCATGCAAGAAAGGCGGCGGCGAATGTAATGGAGAGCAGCACGAGAGCAGCACGCGCTTATGCATAGGCAATAGAGAACATCTCAATGTAAAAGACAGATCACGCCCATCTACTTCACTGGGCGCTTACAAAATGCAAGAGCATCAAGGAGTATCTATAGTAAATGTAGAGAAGTCATCGCGTAAACCACAAACATCTACTCGCGCGACTTTAGGAGCGTTTTGAATCCTTTTCAAACATCCAAATTGAATCGCAAGAAATAATGCTTTTCTAGTACTCGGGACCTCTCACCATATTTCGATTAGAGTTTCTGATCTGGTAAAGACATGTTTGAATATTCACTCACGCGAACAGTTAGCTTTCTTTTATATTTGAGGTTTTCGGCGATCGAGAATTTGATTGCGAGTAGCAGTCTGCTTGTGTTCCAAAAAACTCAAAATTTTGTTTTCCAAAGCTGAGGAAATATTTGGTCGGATAACCGCCCATTTCTCTGCAGAAGGCGACATAGCCGAAGCGCCTAATAAGTATAGTTGCCAATCTCAAAGTAGCTCAACATCAAATCAGTCCATATTCTCATGCCGTGGTTTATAGAAAGTCGCATTTTCACCAAATCCGCCACATTGCTTTCAAGAATCTTCAAATACTATCCAAATTGTTAATCTTGAAAAACGAACTTTATTTTCTCATTATTGTTGAATTTTCAGACCTACTCTTATTACTCCAAAATCGGATTCTTCTTACTCATTTGTTCCGCAATCATCATATGTTATATCAAATTGAGGAGATATTTTGCATCAAACATGTCTTCGGAAAGAGTGCGTAGGATGCAGGCACAGCTATCGAAGGGCATAGTCGCGCAGGTATGTGGCTTTAATGAGAAAGAGGATGCTGCTCCGGAGCGCGTTTAGATTTTCGTTCACATTACGGCCATAGCGCTATTAGCTCTATGGAATCCAATAATCATTATTTTTGGTCTCTTTTTCGAAAGAAGTCAGACGACAGAAGAAGCCATTTTTAGAGTGTATATAGTGGTAAGGCGAAGAGTAATGAAAAAGCTCATTATATCCATCCACAGATCTTCAGATTGCCTATAACATCTTCGTTTGGTATCCTGCAGTTGCTGGCCTGATTATACGCTGGTCAATAATAGGCATTTTGACAATCAAACCAAGGCAAACACCTAGTCTCATAATATGATTGCCTCTACAGACAGTGAAAGTCTATACCTATAGGATTACTTTAAAATAGTGAGATGTCGGTAAATCTAATGCAGTATCATACATCTATCGTGATATGGAGCGCTTGCAGAAACTTGACATTTAGTGT